TTCATCTGTGTATGTGTGTACGGGGCTGAGCATCTTCTATGTATGGCTCAGACCCCACCACCTCACGATTGTATGTGTGTGGAGTGATGCTATGTGAGTCAGTCTATGTGAGTCAGTCCGTTCATCAGACTTCCGTTGCATATATGCTCATCCTACGTTGGTTGATCCTTGGTTCTGCCCATACTAATTGGAGTATGTAACACGTAGTCTCCCGCTATCCAAGGGGGCGCTTTGATACGAGTCTGATTTTACTTGTTTTCATTCCTTGTCTTTTTTTTTCAGAAGATTATTATATTTACAATTGCCGGGAACCGGGCCCGACGTCCTTTACAAAATTTCACAGTTCACAGCCCCAGGCTCTCTCCCGGCTACTCCGACCGCTTGCCGGGGATAAGCAACAGGACTGGTACCCTCCCAGAATTAAAAAAGAGGGTTGTTTTCTTATTAAAAAAAAGAGAAAAAAGGAGCAGTGAAAAGAACTACTAAGAAAAGCACTGAAAAAGGTACAAAAAAAGAAAGAGGAAAAAAGAATTGTGAGGTCCCAGGCCTCAGTTTCATAGAGAAGAAACAGAAACAGCAAACCCAATGCAATGAAACCCTCTTTTTTTTATTCTTTTTTTTTTTTTTGGGCTGAAATGCCCAGCGCAATGTAGCCCCTAACCGAGCAGGAGGGTCCTTTGAAAGACTGTCCACCTGTCAGCACGCACTCTCTACTCATTGTCAGTGATTCCACGGGGGATTTGCTCTGGTCGGTTTCACACTTAAACGAAACCGTTTTTATCCAGATGATCCAGATCCCGTCCCAAACATGAAAACTGTGCTTGCAACTGGTTGAAAAACCTGGGGACGAGATCGATAACTGCACGTACATTAATTTTTGTATTTTTTTGTATGTAGCGTATTTCAATAATTTCATAGAATTTGACCCAGTGGTTGAAAAACCAGGTTGCAAAATCACGAAGTAGCTCAGATAGTTGTGTAGCAAGAAGAGAGCACAATGCACCATGATACCAAGTCAATAAGAGCAATACAATGAACTCTGACGTCAACGTCGCCATACTCTGGTCACACCAACACAGTATTCACTGTCGCTCCTACTGTCTGGCGCTCGGCGCCCAGCATACTCTACTCAGCCTAACTATCCTATCTACGTCCTTGCAGCCAGATCACATCGCAGTTCAAGAGCAATGTACGTTGACGTCATCGCCAATGCCGACCACCAGCATACACCAGGTACGTGCTCTCACCTCCCCTCACCACCTCGTCTTCCTTCTCTGTATGTGCCTCCTACCCGTAGACCACCATCGCCAACACCTGCACCGGCATGCTCCGCCCGGCTATGGCCGCTGTGCGCCCACTGCCACCGCAGTGCCCTCTTCACCACTTAGCGCCCGCACGCGCCCCAGCCTGCCTGCTTAGCGCAGCTTCGCACGACAATGCTGCAGCGTTGCCGCAATGCCTGCACAGGCCAGAATGTACCCTTCCTGGGGCACACACTTTCCTTTTTAGGTGACCGTAACCCGCAACACTCAATAACGCCCCCATACCCCTCCCACCACAACACCCCCACGGCCCCCCCTCCCGCGCCCCTCCCCCAACAACCCCCTTCCCCCAAACTGGAAGTTTCTCAGCGGATTTGGGCTGTACTCAGCAAGCACCGTACAGCCCCAAAAAACTCACTGGATGACCCTCTAGAGACTGGCCGGCAGACTGCCGACGGGTCAGCCCTGCCAGTAGTAGGCTGTGGAATGGTCGGCATAAAGGCACCTGCAGTCAGCTGGTATGCAACACCGGAGACTCGGACAGGACCCAAATAAAGAAACAGACTTTCTCAGAGATTTCTTACCCATGGGTGAATCCATTGCTTTCATAACTTCATACCCATGGGCCAAATGCCATCAGGAAGACCCCCCACATCGGTCTTTACATGGTTACACATTCATCCTGACAAGAAGACCCAAATAAGTGTGGGTACTTGACCTATCAATTTTCATTTCCAAGCAGCATGAGATTAACAGAACTCCCCCTGACCCATCCACAACATTGATCCACAAGAAGAGACCCTGAACTCGTATACTCTTCGAAAAATAAGGACACTAGGAATCTGGCCGAAGACTATTCCAAGTAGATACAGCAATTCAAGATCTACTGTAGGGGGCTTTAAAAAAAAAAAAAAAAAAAAAAAAAAGCAATTCAAGATCTAGAAGTCGACCCAGACGAATGACAACGAAGACGGTGCCTGTACGCGTTAGTCGAGCATAGCTCAAACACGTGATGCGAAGAGCGGCAGGACAAAACACTTTTTCGAAGGGAGAGAGAGGAAAGGAGAGAGAGAGAGAGCGGAGAGAGTGAAAGAAGATGAAGGATGGAGGGTAGCGGATAAGAAGAGGACATGGAAAACCAGGAAGAACACTTGCAAAAGCGCAATGAAAACCGTGTTACAAAAAATGTGGAAATACAATCCAGGAACACGGTCGGCGAAAAAACCCGACTAGTTTCGGCCACCTCGCCGGAATGGCCATCATCAGGGGTAACTGCGCTTGAGAAGGACTTCCAGCTACCGATATAAATACTATAATTGTCCTCATTTTCCCGTCCTTCTGAACCAAAGCTTGGGGCAACCATTCCCTTGCGATCGCGCGGGACATCACAAAAAATTTTGAATGAGACAAGACTGATCCGGGAGGTAGACGTGATTTGGGGGAAAAAACCATTTCCGAAGAGAGCGGGAAGAGCAGAGGCTGACGATAGATCAGATAGAAGCGGGAAAATGACGCGGAAGTGGAAGGCGAGGGAAAAGTGAGAGGAGCTGGCTTGAGAAGAGGAGGCGAAAAGGATACTGTCAGAGGAAAGCTTGGGAAGAAGAGAATGCGCCATAGATACTTGGTCAGCGGAAGATAGTCTGGGGAGGATACAGCGACATGGGCATGTAGTACTTCTTCGTTCGCCGTTTCACCCGTTTGTCGTGATTGCCAGCGATCCTGGTATTGTCGCTACTTACTGCCTCAACAGATAACGCCCAAGTTCGACAGAAGTGCCGTCCGAAATCGTGCAGAAATCAGATATCCCACGGGTAAGTTCTCGACCAGGTAGACAGGGATCAAATCGGTCTGTGTCGTTTTCTTCTCAGACCGTCTGAAAAAAAATGGACCCACATTTCCCAAATACCCCCGTTGCATACGGAGAAATCCTCCAGGGCCTTCAGGAACATCCACCCTGGGAAAAGTTTCAGGCGCAATTCCCGTCTAAGTGCCAGCAAACACTGACCCACTCCTCTAGAATCTGAGGAGTGGGTCATAATCCTACTGAGGTGGCATTTTATCACTCCGATCTTTTGAATTCTTGGCCCGTAGGACCAGTAGTCCTGCGTAGACTGAAAGGTGATACGCCCCTGGTCCCAGACATCACGTTGGTTCTTCATCCTGGCTTCACAGCGTACTGCAGGCGGACGTGTCTGGGACAGAACTTTACAACCCAAGAAGTCAAGAACTCCGTCTCGTTGGTTGGTCCTCACGACAGTGAGATTATGGTTGTAGATCTGACGAAAGCGGGAAAAAACAGTTGTTGCCTTGTCGAGAGCCATCTGGGAAGAGCTGGGGAGGATGAGAAAGATGGCCACGTCATCTACCAATCTTAGGCCGGTAATCAGATGACGATCCTTTCCTAAAGAATTGAGAAAGTTAAATTCGTGGTAGGCACAGAGGAGACATGCAAGAGATGGGCTGGAACTCTTCCCCATAGGAATCCCTGCCGTCTGTCGGATGATGAAAGATG